CTTTTGCATACTTTCGCATCAAGTTACCAGATGATACCGGATGCTGCCGGATTCTGAGGACGCCTGTTGGGGGGCATTGGACGCCGAAGTTTGGGACCCAGCTTTCAATCATTTTCAGTGGTGCATGGTGGTGTTTCTGAAAATGTAAGCTGGACTGCTTGAGGTGATAAAAAAATGGTGGTTTGCAACAGATTTCCATGTCCAGGTGTGTACAAGTTTCATTTTGCTTATTTCTACGTAAGTGATGTCACAACACGGCATCTTTTGCAAAGCATCTTTCTGCTTGCCTAGGCTGACGCTGCACCTAGGCATGCATCGGCTGAGAACCACGTTGGGCACCTCAATGACTATAGATGACTGAGATAATACCCTATGTCATATATTGTCATTTTTTAATACAGTATTTTTCGTGCACTTTGCCTGGAATTGGCATGAATTGCCTGGTGAATGGTGGTGTTTTTGCAAAATGTAAGCTAGACTGCTTTAGGTGTTGAAAATGATGGTGTTTTGCAGAAGATCCCCATGTCCAAACAGTCAAGCTTACATTTTCTTACTACTTCTTATTCCATCTTATTCCCACATTATGTCATAAGGCGACATATTGAATCATAATGCGACATATCTTGCAACGCATTTTTCTGCTTGCCTAGGCTGGCATTGCACCTGAGGGAGCATTTGCTGAAAACGACGTGGGACGCCCAGATCACTGTAGATGACTAAGATTGGCATGGGCTCACCGACATTCACAAATATTGGCAAGGTCCTTTGATAGTTATATAGTTTCTTGAAGTCTCTTATGGTTTCCAGTGGTTTCTTGATGCTCCCTATTTAAGCGCGAAAGATGTAAGTTGATGCAAGATCACGCAAGAAAAAGCAAGATCCTATATTTTATATATATATATAAGGTGAGCAGTTTGGGGGAGGGTGTTTGAGATAGTGGTGGGCTGCATGGATTCTGCCCCCCCATTGCTTTCAGCTTACATTTGTGCAGTTTGCCTGGGATTGCCTGGTGTGAATGGCGGAGGTTTTTGAAAAATGTAAGCTAGACTGCTTTAGGTGTTGGAAATGATGGTGTTTTGCAGAAGATCTCCATGTCCAAACAGTCAAGCTTACATTTTCTTATTACTTCTTATCCCATCTTATTCCCACATTATGTCATAGGGTGACATATTGAATCATAATGGCGGAAGTTTTTGAAAAATGTAAGCTAGACTACTTTAGGTGTTGGAAATGATGGTGTTTTGCAGAAGATTCCCATGTCCAAACAGTCAAGCTTACATTTTCTTATTACTTTTTATTCGATCTAATTCCGACATTATGCCATAGGGTGACATATTGAATCATAATGGGACATATCTTGGAAAGTATTTTTCTGCCTGCCTAGGCTGGCACTGCACCTGAGGGAGCATTTGCTGAAAACGACGTGGGACACCCAGATCACTGTGGTGACTAAGATTGGCATGGGCTCACCGACATCCACAAATATTGACAAGTTCCTTTGATAGTTATATAATATATAGTTTCTTGCAGTTTCTTATGGTTTCCAGTGATTTCTTGATGCTCCGTATTTAAGCGTGAAAGATGTAAGTTGATGCAAGATCATGCAAGAAAAAGCAAGATCCTGTATTATATATATATATATATTTATGGTGAGCAGTTTGGGGGAGGGTGTTTGAGATAGTGGTGGGCTGCATGGATTGTGCCCCCCCCCATTGCTTTCAGCTTACATTTGTGCAGTTTGCCTGGGATTGCCAGGTGTGAATGGTGGTGGTTTTTGAAACATGTAAGCTAGACTACTTTAGGTGTTGGACATGATGGTGTTTTGCAGAGGATGCCAATGTCCACACAGTCAACCTTACATTTTCTTTCTACTTCTTATTCAATCTTATTCTCACATTATGTCATAAGGTGACATATTGTTTATTATTGTATCATAATGTGGCATATCTTGCAAAGCATTTTAGTGGTTGCGTAGGGTGGAAGTGCACGAGAGGGAGAATTTGCTGAAAACGACGTGGGACACCAGATCAGTGTAGATAACTAGGATTGGCATGGGCTCACGGACATTCAAAAAAATATTGACAAGTTCATTTGGTGGTTATATAGTTTCTTGAAGTTTCTTATGGTTTCCAGTGGTTTCTTGATGCTTCCTATCTATGCGTGAAAGATGTAAGTTGATGCAGGATCATGCAAGAAAATGTAAGATGCGATGTTACATTATATTACCATATAATGCCTATATAGTAAGCTGTTTGGGGGAGGGTGTTTGAGATAGTGTTGTGGGCTGCAGGGATTCTGGCCCCCCTATTGCTTTCAGCTTACATGTTTGCGTCGCATAGATGAGATCACCTTTGGTCATTTCATGATATGTTATGTCATTTTTTGTGCATATGTGCGCATCATCGTGCACTTTGCCTGGAATTGCCTGGTGAGTGGTAGTGTTTCTTGAAAAATGTAAGCTAGATTACTTTAGGTGTTGAAAATGATGGTGTTTTCCAGAGGATGCCCATGTCCACAAAGTCAAACTTACATTTTAATTACTACTTCTTATTCATCTTATTCCCACATTATGTCATAAGGCATCATAAGGTGACAGGTTGTATATTATTGTATCATAATGTGGCCTATCTTGCAAAGCATTTTGCTGCTTGCCTAGGCTGGCAGTGCACCTGAGGGAGCATCTGCTGTGAACGATGTGGGGCACCTAGATCACTGTAGATTCTGGATGGCTAGGATGATATTCTATGTTCATTTTTTGTGCATGTGATTGCATATGTGCGTATCATTGTGCAGTTTGCCTGGAATTGACTGGTGAAGGGCGGCGTTTTTTGTAAATGTAAGCTAGGCTGCTTTAGGTGTTGAAAATGATGGTGTTTTGCAGGAGATCTCCATGTCCACACTGTCAAACTTACATTTTAATTACTACTTCTTGTTCTTATTCTATCTTACGCCATCTGATTCCCACATTATGTCACAAGGTGACATATTGTCTGCTATTGTGTCATAATGTGACATATCTTGCAAACCATGTTTCTGCCTGCCTAGGCTGGCACTGCACCTGAAGGAGCAGAAAATGTGGCAGAAGGCTTCCCCTTAGCACAAAGTTATGTAGCAGAAGGCTCCCCTAGCAGAAAGTTATGTAGCAGAAGGCTCCCCTAGCAGAAAGTTATGTAGCAGAAGCCTCCGCTAGCAGAAAGTTATCTAGCAGAAGGCTCCCCTAGCAGAAATATATGTAGCAGAAGGCTCCGCTAGCAGAAAGTTATGTAGCAGAAGGTGCCGCTGGCAGAAAGTTTGCAAAAACATTTTTCTGCCTGCCTAGGCTGGCACTGCACCTGAAGGAGCATCTGCTGAGAACGACATGGGGCACCTAGATCACTGTAGATGACTAAGATTGGTATGGGTTCACCACCGACATTCACAAATATTGACAAGTTCCTTTGATAGTTATATAATATATAGTTTCTTGAAGTTTCTTATGGTTTCCAGTGGTTTCTTGATGCTCCCTATTTAAGCGTGAAACATGTAAGTTGACGCAAGATCTTGCAAGAAAATGTAAGATCCGATGTTACAATATGTTACATTGCGCACTTTGCCTGGGATTGCCTGGTATGAAAAAATGTAAGTAGCTGCAGGGGAGTTTTCCAAATTTCTGCAAAAACACATGAAGACCGTGACCTTAAGGTAAGCGCTTATGAAATCTAGCAAGCAGATGCAAACAGCATCAGCAACAATATTGCAGGCAATCTTGCAGATGGTGCATGATCCAAACAAACCGGGAACAGCAGAAGATAGGATAAAAATGAATAGAAACAGAATAAGGTAGCACAAGATAGTACCAAATAGTAGTGCTAGTAGTACTAGTAGTACTAGTAGTACTAGTAGTACTAGTAGTACTCGTAGCAGCAATATTAATACGAATTAATAGTAGTAATAGAGTATATAATAGCAGCAAGAATAATAGTAGTGGTTTTCATATTATTTCATATTACTTCATATTTTATCATTAAAAATTGCTCGGGGTATTTTGAGATGATTCGATCTGCACGTCCCCCCCCGTGCCCCCCCCCCCTGGAAAATAGAAAAAAACGTGAATTTTTAAAAAATGAGGGGGGGGTCACAAATTGTAGGTTACATGTTTTGACCCCCCATTTTTAATTTTTTCATTGGGGGGAGGGGGGGGTCAAAAAATGTAAGTTAGGGGGTCGCGAAAATGTAAGTTACATTTTTTGACGGGGGGGTCCCCCCCAATTTTTTGTAACTTACATTTTTTGACCCCCTCCCCCTAAAAAGGTGCCCAAGGGGGTGGGGATCATAAAAAAAGGTTTCACTGTGTTGAGACATTGATCCAGTTTTGAATCTGTGGTTTTGAACGATGTCCACCGATGGAAATTTCATGAAGTTTGAGAGGCAACCCAAATGGGACGAGACCAAGGCCGAATCTTGACCGGGCTCAAAGATAGCAAGCCTTCCCAATGTGATGCTTTGTTTTGTTTTTCCGCGACTAGCATGAATATCATTATCAGTGAAAGGTTCTTAATGCTGTTTCTATTAATGCTTCTTCTATTAAGAATTATGAATGTATACCAGTGAATATCTCCCACGAATGGCAAGGTTCTACCTGGACCCCCTCTCTACAACCATTTTGCTGGGCGAGGTGAGGTGATGCTGTGTCTTGTGAGTTTTTTCCCTCGGGTATTCAAACGTGGCAAGCAAGGAAATCCTGTATACATGGAGGTTTTAATGGGAAAAATCATCTATCAATGTTGGATTTTCCAGCAAGCCATGTTTGATGACACCAGAAAGTATCCCACTCTTATCCCATGACTAGTCCATTCATATCCGATTACTATCCCTACATTTAACATTGTTAAACCATATGAGAGGCATTATTTTAGAGATACATTTTCCCATTAAAACCTCCATGGCCTGGGGGATTTCCCATCCTCGACCTCATCCCATCGTCCCTTCAGGCAGTCTTTTCGGACTCGTCGCTCGAAGGCTCAGCTCTCGCCGAAGAGGATCTCTTCCTTCACGGTCTCCACGTCTCCCGTGGCCACGATGCTTCCTGGCACCAAACGCGAACGAACCGCGACTTCTCCGACACATGAAGGGAATATACATATTATGTGTATATATATATATCATTATATACAAATATATAAAAGTATTTACCCAGTCAATCCAAAGGAGGAGCTTAACGCGGCCGTTAGAGTAAAGGACCTAAATGACTAAAGGCCTCAAAAGACTCATACCTTGAAAAAAAAAATCCGCACCACAAGATCAGCAGCAGCCACATAGAGCGGGAGCACTCATGAGAAAAATTGGTCACAAAATCGCAAAACCATTTTTTTGGCATTTTTTTGCACAAACCTGATTTTGCGGGTTTTGCATGGCCTTTTCACGGGGTTTTCACTGGCTTTTCATGGCCATTTCACGGTTTTTTCACGGTGTCACTATTTTCGTAAATCTCGAAGTTGTGCCCTCTTTTCTTCATATCTTTGGGGGTGGGACCTTGCTCGGCTAAGCCTCACCAAAATACAAAAAAAATACGACCTCAAAAATAATAACATAAAGAAAACCTGTCCTAAAGGCCGTCAGTTTAACCAGGCCTTTAGATGCCTTTAGCAAAGGCCTAGTTTAGTGAGGACTTGGACCGACAGGGATATATGCATATAATAATATGTATTGGAATCACTTAGTAGGTACTGTATATGTGGGAATATATCTGGAAGTATATGGGAAGTATATGGAAACATGGTAAGAAATAGGAAATCACCCCATTGTCTTCCCAACATATGATACATATGTGCCATCCCGTCACATATGTGCCCTATGCCCTACGAGATCCAGCCGTAGCTTCTAGTAGTTGGATCCATAGTGGCGAAAATGTCATGGAAATCTACGGGGTTTGATGGCCAAACTATCATTTTTTAATGGTGACAAAAGACGACCAAATGGATCAAGATGATATATAGGCATACATATATATATATTATATATATATACATATGCAGCGTTGTGTACCAAACCTGGGGAGATGATATGTGGTATGCCTATGAATTTCTACGAATGGGTTGATGACCATCCTTAAATATGAGGGAGAAGCCCCTGGATGGGGACTTCTTCACTAGGCTTTTTAACCACTTATAGACTACACACCGACACACCGGCAATTTAACATATATGCAAGACATGGCCCATTGAGAGATCATAAAATTATTAGACACATATCTCTATATATCTTTATATATATAATTACAGGATATATCATTAATTACATATCATTAGTTATATATCATTAAATATACTTATATATAATTATATAGATATTCTCCAATATTTTCCCGTAGTTATCTTAACCAAGAGGCCTGGGATGATCCTCCAAGGCCACAACCATCACCACGCGCTTCCCACCCCCCCGCAACCTGCTGGCAAGTCCTTCACCTCGGCCTGATGGATGCATCGCCACCTACGGCGGTGGGGATTCAACCATAAAAATGAAGGGTCTTAACTGGTTGGTGGTTGACCTACTCTGAAAAATATGAGTTCGTCAGTTGGGATGATGATTCCCAAAAAAAAAATGTTCCAGACCACCAACCAGTAAACATGGGGAAGGGAAAAACGTTTCAGCATGCTGAATGGACAATATGTACAATGGAAAATGTTCTGAGAAAACGCTCGGCCAGCTACACACCCATGTCCTTCGACACGGAACCGAGCGAAAAAAATGATCAAGGGAGGGAAAATATCTGAAACTATGGGAAATTGACCAACAAAAATTGGCGATCTTAACATGAAGATGGTGAATTTGTGGGAATTAACATGGTTTTTCGATTTTGGCATGAACATGAAGAAATGCTCGGAAATTAACCAAAAAAAATGAAACGCAATGGAGCGGTTCAAAAAAACATGCGATTGAAACCATGGTTTTGAGTTTTGAGCCCACAACATGCGGTTCCCTTTTAATTTCCCCTCAGCCAATTCCCCAAAAAATGGCTGAAAGACTCACTCAAAGAAATGGCGCAAGAACGGATCGCATTTCAAAGTTCCGATCACTCTGTTCCATTTTGGGCCAGGCAAATTTCAATGAGTTGCTTGCACATGAGGACCTTTGGGCCATTCACCACCAAAAGCAGGCGTGTTCTCTCTTAATGCAACAATGCTTGAAGACGCATCCACTGATGCTCTCTGGTTTCTGGTTGAGCATCCCATTACAAAACATATGCGTGTCAGTTTGTGTGCTCACCCTACCAGCAACAATCTTCGGACTGGGGGGCGGCCTGCTCAAAATACTGCTCCCACTGGGTAGTTTACCCAATTTTTATCCTTGGGAGAACTGATGCGACTGCCATTCTTGCAAAAAAAACACCCTGGTGGTAACAGGCACCGGGCTATGGATTTCAAACCCTGAAAAGTTGGGTGGCAAAACAAAGAATTTTATGGAATTTTGACATATGTTTTCCCAAATTGGCCCTAGGCCATTTGTAGTTTCTGGCCACTCAAACTCCGTTTTGTTGCCCGTGGATCCGCTGTGCAACTGACTGCAATTCCATTTTTACTGATAAAATCCTGGTTTTTGCTGATGAATATTCCCCTTATTGGATGGCCTATCCGAGATACCTTGCATTTTTGTTAGGTGGTTAGGAAAGTCGTAAAGTGCCCAAGGTTGACCCCATCGACCATCTCCACTGGCCCCCTGGCACCAATCGAAGGAGGAAGACCTCACGCAGACTTGCTCCACGTTTTCATCCCCACCTCAGTTAAGATACAGATTGGCACTGCACCCAACGGATATTTAAAACGCGAGCAAAATACTTCGGGGGGGAATAACTGTAATTAGGATTTTCACCTCGGAGATCTCGAGAGTATCAAAAGTGACATCGAACCGAAGCATCCCCAAATCTTTGATTGATCCTCTCAACCCAGGATGGGTCCCAAACAAAGGAGTCACGAAGCAGGTCGCAACGTGGTTTCAAGTGGTCATTCGAAATTTTGAATTAACAAAAACCAACAAAAAGCGGCCTGAAAAGGTCTCAAACATGTGGTTTGACAACCAAAACTATGACTTCCAAACGCGTCTGAATCTGCATTCTGAACCAATTTCAATCAATTTCGGGTGATGCAGCAGCCAAGAATGTGGCTGAAGATTGTTCACAGTTGTATGCAAATGAAGATGTATGAAGGACTACATGTCCAGAGAGAGAGAGAGATATATATATATATATATTAGCTAAACTCAAAAACTCGCTGCCGTGGATATGTTGAAAACCGCACGAAGAGTTAGCGGGGGGGCGAACGTAGGGGCGAACATGCGGGCGAACGGGTGGACGAACGTCGCCCGCACGAGCGAGCGGGGGGGCGAGCGGGGGGGCGAGCGGATGGGCGAACGATTCGACTAGTCTTGTTTTGCCTGGTGATAATTAGTACAGTCAACCTGTGCCGAAATTATTTTACACCTACTTATACAACCCAAGAATACTGGTACAAAGTTGTTGGTATTCGAAACCCGTGCAATTTTGAGGGCGGGCCCACCCCCTTGAGGGCGCATTAAGGGGTCGCACGAAGGGGTCGCACATACGCATGTACGCACGTACGTACGCATGCACGCACGCACGTTCATGTGCATGTACGCACGCACGTTCACATGCATGTTCAGAAATAAGGTTACCTTTAAGGTTACCTTTTATATAAAAGGTAACCTTATTTCTGTACGACCCTAAGCCTCCTAAAGCATATTTAGTATTAGGAGGTCACTTTTCAAAGGTAACCTTATTTCTGAACATGGGTCTGAACATGGGCTTGAACATGGGTCTGAACATGGTACCTACGTACGTGCATACGTGCGAACGTACGTGCGTACGTCTGTGCGTACGTATGTGCGTACGTGTGTGCATGTGTGCGTTCGCCCCCCCGTTCGCCCCCCGGTTCGTCCCCCCGTTCGCCCCCCCGTTCCCCCCCCGTTCGCCCGCCGTACCCTCGCTCAGATGGCCGTACGCCCCCCCACGTTCAATACGTCTAAATAACTTCAAAAACAGGCCGCAGCGACCTTTTGGGTTTAGCTAAGATATATATATATATGTATGTATGTATGTGTGTGTGAATATTCAGATCTAGTCAAAAAGTAACATTCCTGCTATTCAAATTTACACGTATATTTATATATATATATATATTATTGTTATATCTCAAATATATATATATATGGGTATGGGTCAAAATTAGGTACCCCAATAATTGGATGGTGAATACTAAACTAGACTAACATCATCTAACATCTGTGGTCCCCTAGGTCTTCCATTTTGACCCACACCCATATAAGTATCAGCACAGACCACCGAAGGAAGTTTTAGAAGTCAAACTTCCGACAATATGGACAAATGGAAAAGCAGAAGAGAAGAGCAGAAGAGAAAAGGTCAGAGAAGAGAAAGAGTCAGAAGAAAGAAGATGCAGGTGCGCGAAAAGGTAGAAAACTCGCGAAACACTGTGTTTTTCCAATGATTTGTGGCTCCGGAGGGTCGAAAAGTAGGCTCGCTAAAGGAAAAACTGAGGGTTTGGAGCATTTTTGGACGTTCAGATGTCGTTTTGCGTGTCAGGCGCAGGGGTTGTACACCTTGTCAAAAGTGAGCAAAATGTGAGGCTTTTGTAGCAGTTTCAGCTACAACCACCACTACACTACACTACACTCACTACACTACACTGCGCTACACTACAGCCACAACTACAACTAAAACTACAAGTACCACTATATTACACTATATTACACTACACTACGCTACACTAATTACATTACACTACACTACACTAATTACATTACACTACACTACACTTGACTACACTCAATTACACTACACGAAACTAACTACAACTACAACTACCCTACATTTCACTACACTACACTACACTAATTACAGTACACTACACTTCACTACACTAGACTCAGTTACACTACACTACAGCTAAAACGACAACTACAGCTAGGTTCTACACTGCACTAATTACAGTACACCACACCACTTTACATTACACTACACTACATTACACTACACTACACTACACTAACTACAACTACAACTACAACTACAACTACAACTACACTACGCTAGTACACTACACTACTTTACATTACACTACACTACACTACATTACACTACACCACACTAACTAAAGCTACAACTACAACTGCAACTGCAACTACAACTACAACTACACTACATAACACTACTCCACTCTACTCTACTCTACACTACTCTACACCACGCCACACCACACTACACTACACAAACTACAACTACAGCTACAACTACGCTACTTTACACTACACTACACTACCCTACATTACATTACACTACGCTCATTACACCACCACAAATGCAACTGAACTACACTACACTAATTACACTACACCACAAATGCAACTCCACTACACTACAACTACAACTGCAGCTTCACTACACCACAGTACCTCCAGCAGTTGTGGTGAGGTCCACTGCACCCATTGCATCGATGTGCTGGCCCCACTGAGGATTCGTGGTTTATGAGCCATATACACACTATAATTGACTATAATCCATTTAGTCTATAACCAAAAGTGGATCCATAATAATTACACCATATGTAAATATCAATAGATATCCATGGGACTTTAGGTAAAAGTGGATTATTTGCTATAATCATGTTATATACATAACTAGGGGATATTCCATGAATCCAACTGTTTTTTTCACCCATTTACGATTCGTGGGGACCGCTCTCCCAAGTAATGTTTTTTTTCGCAGTTATCAGTGCCCAAGGGGCCGGTGATAGTGGATGAATGCTTTATATTTAATTCATGTGTATAAAAGATATCAAGTGCTCCCCCCGTTTCTCCAGTTGGTTTGAGTTTAGTTTGTTTATACCATCATTGGATGATACCGGAAAGCTTCGGGATCACCAGGTAGTTCAGCATAGTGAAGTTGGTTCCAACAAATACAACTCCAACCACCTTCCGCCATCGCCTTGTGCGGTACACTGGTAATTGTACACAAGGCACATAGACTAATGTAATCATATAATATGTATGTATATATATATATATATGAATACATATATATATATATACATATATGAATACATATATATATACACATATGAATACATATACATATACATATATATATATATACACCCTCCGGTAATTTAACAAAATAATGTAAATGACCATTTACAGATGATTACAGGTGATTTCCCGAACTTCAAACTGGTGATTGTCCAGGTCGCTACCGCGCACTGCGTCCAGGCACATCGACAGGTATTTTGATGCCCGTACGGCACACGCATCCTGACCAAGGTCACCCCGGCGCCAGGTGATGGTGGTGAAGAATCATGAAAAATTACCCACTGGTAATTTGATTCAGCTACTGAAAATGGCCATTCGTTGATTTACCCATTGAAAATTGTGATGTTCCATCGTTTTTTGTGTTAGTTTGCCAGAGGCTAAGGCCGAAAACAGCTACCCCTAGGAGATTGTGTTCAGTGACGGGGCACAGATTTCCATCGAGATCTGCATGAAAGTGGACCATGGAATTCCATGTCGCAAAACCAGGTCCGTTGGCTAGTTGATTGCAATGATTAATGTGATCAAAATACATGTACACTTGGTGTAGATTATATATATAGTATGATTGGCATATATCTCATCATCCCTGATTATATCAGTGTTCCTGTTTAAAAAAAAACACATGTAAACTGTTTGTTGCTACCCCGTGAACATCGTTTTTTTGCCATCGCCGCTTGCGACCATCTTTTGGGAGGCCAGGAACATCCTGAAAAAAATAATTCACCCCATGAGTAGCTAAGATCTATACATTTGTATTGCCAATATGGTCAATGTGTTTCGTATAGCTCCATTATATTCCCATTGTATCCTAATTGCACATTAAAAAGGATCGACCTCCTATGTATTGGCTGATGTAAACAATAGAAGGTGCCCCCGAGCGTTTGTTGTGTTGCAAAGTCACTAAAATACTGTGATTCCGGCTGCACCACATTGAAATTTGAATCTTGATGTCTTGTTAATTTATGATTATACACCATATGAAATGCCATAGTAATATAGTATATGTATACCACTATGTATCCCGAATTTTCAATCATTCTCAAATATATTCAACCAAAAGCTATCATGTTATCATTATTCTATCATAGCCTACGACATTCCAATAATATAACATTAAAAACAAATATGATATCATATCCTGCTTGGAGACTTAAACGGTATTCTGCTCCGACCTCATGAGTTTTGTGGGATCCAAGAACAGCGCAATGGCAATGGTCCGCACCTTAGTGAGGGTACCAAGGATTGTTGAAGGTCCCCTGTTTATTAATAGTGGGGGCACCAAAATATATTGACCTATAAATATATACATAAATAGAAAGACACTCACACACTGATATATATATATATATAATTATAATTATATATAATTATATATATATATGTTAGTCAAACTTTTGTTTAGCTGACAGTATATGCATATTATAAATTATCTAGGTGTTATATATATATATTATACATAAATATATATATATATTATGTTACATATTAGTTGACCCTCCTGTAAACTAACATAGATGTGCAAATCCCACATATATAATTGTAGATCATGTTGCGCGGGTCAAAATAAATCCGCATCTATGATGGTTTACCCCACATTATGTAATATTAATAGTTGGTGAATATCCCCAGTGATTCAACAAAAACAAAAGAGTGAGAGTACCATCACCATCATTTGTAAAACATGGGGGGGCACCACCCACTATAAATATAGTAATAGTATAATTAAATATTCCACTTAAATTATATAGTGCTTATGACTTATGAAAACAAACAATTAACAATACCAATAGTTTACACTTAATAGTGTACACTTCTTGTTTCTTGGTGGGTGAAAGCCCCAGGAATGGTAAGCGGGTCAACACCACAGTTTTGTTACTGGACATTGCCCCCTACTTGCGCTACTTACCCTACTGGGGTTACAACCCACTTCCTAACTGGGGCGAACCACCCAGTACCAAGATTCAATGGTATCAATGGTTGGGGGTAATCACAACACACCAAAAATCAAGTGGGTGTACTAAGTTACTAAATCCAGTTAGTCCATGAACAGTTTGATATACCAACATCCACCTCAGGGTTATTAAATCCAGTTAGTCCTTAATTGTTCCAGTTAGGGTATTATAAATAATTGAACCAGCAACATCCACCGATACCAGAAGCACCGGTGAGCCGCTGGGCCCAACAACATCAATCCCTGCTAAACTGTCCCTTTTTCAGATGCGAAATGAAAAATGAAGTTCAGATGATCAGATTGTCCATTGCCTTGGATTGTTGCAGGGCTACAATTGATATAAATTGATATAAATTGACATAAATTGATCATTCAGCCTGCAGTAAGGCAATTTTTTGGGGGTCAAAAATTGCCCAAATCTAACAGCCAAGGCTCCGCATGGTCGCCCCAGCGGTATAGCCAGAACCTGGGTCACATCCCTTGGATAGACAATAAATGGGATATCAATGGATTTTGATGGGAATATCATGGGAATGTAAAGCGAAAATCATCTAATTATATATTATATATACATATATATTATATATATTGTATATTATACATACATATATATATATTATATACATATTGTATATATTTTATATACAATATATATTATATACATATTATATATTATATATTATATATTATATACATATTATATATATATATGGCCACATGGCACAATGGATGTTGTAATATAATGATGATCGCCCTGGGAATCAAATGTGGCTGAAAAATCACCCAACTCAATTGCCAGAGGGTATATTAGCTGTTCCTGGTGGGGATGACCATGGCACATGTGAGTAGGAATAGTTTAACTAATTAAGTATTAGTATAGTATTAGTATGGTTTAACATAGTTATCTAACTAGCTACAATGGGATATCGAAAACTCTATCAACGAAAAATCAGAATATGGTCGACAAATGGATCAAATCAAGGGACATTTACCGGGAAAAACCAACCGGGGAAGTATTGGTGAGGTGGTTGTGCTACCACAAACTATTGCATTCATAGTTTCAGAGGGACCAGAATGGACCAAACATTGTTTTGGGGCTATCTAGAACAACCATTCCCAACGCTAAAGTAAGCCGATTCCGAAGTAAAATCTATGAACTCTATGAAACTTGTTCTACAGAGGTAAATTCCCTTCATTATAGATGTATGCAGTTTGAAGCATTGAAAAATGCAGGATCCAATCGATAACAAACATAGGATTAGCCGCAATGATTAGCCTGGAAATGACAGACACGGATGGCGAATGACCCCGCTGATAAGTTGGAGTTTTCCCAGCAGCTCACAGGATAACACTACAACACAACGAACCTGAACACCATGAGTACCGACCACATGCTAACTTGGATGGACATCCAAGCGATGACCAGATCCCCTGGATGTCCCAGACCCACCCACGGAATCCAAGAAAGTGAAGAAGTCCTGCGGCAGCGGCCCCCCAAGGCACATTCAAAAAGATGATTTTAACCTCAAAACAAAACATAAGGGTCATCATAAGTCATGCAAATTCGGGAATGATCAGGGAGAAAATCAACTCTTATTATCCAAGAATCATGGGAATACGACCTCAGGGTAAACAAACATAGATGTGGAAACCTTATGGTTTTCCGAGAAAAATGATCCACAAATGATGGGTTTCCACATCATTCCACATCTGCCACCCATCCCGAACATCTGAGCTCAGTCCAAGATGGAAACTGCCAACTGGGTCTTACACCCAATGCCATTGGAAAAAATGTGACTTATTGGTTGTTTAAAGCCACTACGATCACTAAGCAAATGACAAGTTTAAGCCTTGCCGTTGTTTCAATTGCGTATCTCTTAGAAAGTGACCCCTCCTCTCCTTGTTCCAGAATATCCTTGTAGGAAGATGTAGGAAGCTATCTATTCCAGCTACACTTGTTTCGGTTAATTCACGCACACACACATGTACATACACAGATATATAACTGACCCCCGTATAGGTCCAGAGGGGGGCAATAGGGGGGCAATAGGGGGGATGTAAAAAACAAGCAGAAATTGCGTTCAGAAACGAAGTCCGAAGTCCTGCCCTTAAAACACTTATACACACATAAAATACATTATACATCATGCATTAAAACACGTATACACACATAAAATACACTATACATCATGCATTATGTATTGTACATTATGTACATTATGTGCTATATATTGCTATATCATATCACATATATTCAGCAATTCTTGCTGAAATCTTCAAAAAACAAGGCGTTTCAACGTATGGAGTCCTGATATTTGGGGCTTTGGAACCACGAGAGCTTGGTGATCTCGATGTCGTTCCTTCACGGCCAGCGGAGGCCGGTACCCGGAGGAAAACATGTTTTTAGATGTACATTTTTGAATGGTTTAGTGATAGTTTTATCATGGTTTATATATCATAGTTTATAACGGCACATCTCAATCTTTTAGATGATGGCAGATGAGAATCCAATATAGTTTATTCATGTTTAATATTCCAATATCACGATTTTCAGACTGAATTGACGGCGATAAGTGGCGGTATCCGACCAGAGGTGGTTCCCTAACAAGACACGAATCTGAGTTGGTGTAGCCGTGTTGCCTAAATGCCTCCAGAGTGCATGGATTTGCACAAATCAAATTGTTTCTCCAGTTTTATGTCAAAAAATAACTGTTCTACATATCTATATTGCGGGAGACAGTGATGGAGGCTAGCATGGTTCTTCGGGTGATTTGGATCTCTATGGCTGCATGTCCGACAGCTCTCGGGCTCTCACATGAAGAGGACTCGATTCCATTCATGCCAGTAGGTGTCCCGAAGAACCAGTGCATCCTCAGCATTGGAAGAGCACTGCTAGTGGCATCATGTGGGATCAATCATAAATCTATGTGTCTTAAATGTGCATATACGTATTTAAGTGCATTTTGATATCATATAGATATATGATATAGATATATATATATATATATATGTATGTATGTATGTATGCATACATGCATGCATGTATGGATGTATGTATCCATATATGTGAGGCTTTCCATAAATGGTTTTTTTTCCCCAAATCATCAATTTCAATGGGTTTTCCATGGTTTTCCCATAAACCCTCCAGCTCTGATCCCTCAACCTCAAGGCTTTTGACCTGGGCTGCCCTTGCCGTGAGTCGTCGCATCATTTTTGTACCTTTTGGGTCGATGCCTTTGGACCTGGCGGATGGGAACGATTCCGCTTGGCCACCAATGTTTGTTCGTTGCCGTTGGAATGTTCGCGAAGATTCTCAACCACCCATAGTTTGATGGTTTATACTAGCCACTTGTGGTCAAATTGGGAATGATTTATTGGTATACTATTAAGCCTTATTAAGCTTTACTAATCGGTGTCCTAGTTTCCTTGCACCAAGATCTCTTTCATTCGCTCCCAACCATTAGCATCTGCCCAGAAGCTCGATGTACAACCGGCAGAACTCCCAGAAGTGCTGAACCTCGGCGAGGCCAGTTGTGATGCAAGGGCAACTGATTAAGATCCCATATATATATATATATATATACACGTATGATATGTACATAATAACTAACTATATAGATATATATGGCCATTTATATATATATATAAATATTATATAATCTCGAGGTGAGCTCCAATGATGAGTCATTGGTTTCATATGTATGATTATGTATGTGTGTGTGTCTGTGTGCCCATGTTGTATACATTTGAATTCATTGATTACTATAGAGTTCTATAAGTATGCACATGCAGGCACACTGGAAGTTGGGGAATCCCATCTCGCTTCGTTTCTGTCACGATCTTAAGGAGTGAATGGCTGTTACCCCTCTGGGAATTTACAGTGCCTGGAAAATCCCCGTGTGCCAATCGTATACTGGTTGGTGGTTTTAACCATCTTGAAAAATATTAGTCAATGGGAAGGATTATCCCATATATGGAAAATAAAAAATGTTTGAAACCACCAACCAGTATAAGTCGATCATCCAAAAGTCTCTCTCGTTGATTTTTTCCTTGCCACGTGAAAAAATAGCGGATGGGAAATCCACCACTCACGCACGATTACGATTGACAGATTGAGATGCAATTCTTCTAGTGGCTTAGGGGGCAGTAAACAAAAATCAAATAAAATATATTCCAGTAGATAAGATATATAGATATATTTTCCCAATCAATATATAGATAAAACATAGTTCTACTGGTAATATACATATATAGTTCCCAGTAGATTTTCCAAGTGGATCCACATGGTAGATTAGCCAATGGGAACATAACACATTAACTTAAGGGCAATTCTAGGATTTTGCCATGGTAAATGTTAGTTATCTATAGTTATACTATAGTTATATCATAATTTTTTACCGCGGATTTTTGTTCACTTGCTGCTCTTGTCACTCACATAGTCGGAATGGAAGCGGTCTTTGCCGCAGTATTCCGCTGGCTCTTTTGGGACATCCTTTGCTCAGCAGGTTGGATCGGTGCAACACAGCCGAATCAACCTGGCACGTACCAAAGTAACGTAAAGTGGTAAATCCATGGTTTCCACATGTTTCCACAAGAAATTATCCGCAAATGGCCGGTGTCGATATCTGCGTTCATTAGCTCTTCAGAGTGCCTGAAACTTTAACTGCCAACGCAAATCAAAATTCAACACAACAGCATCTAGTAGCTGCTGGTTCCGCCTAAACAAATAATTCACTGGGTATCATCATCATAGGATGTGTCCCTGGCAACGCTGGCGACGTCAGTTTGTGTTTCAGTGTCGAGACTTCACCTGGCGAACGGTGTCGGTTGCCCTGAATCATCCTGGAAAATTCACCAGAAATGGTGAAAACGGTACCGGTAAAACCCTGGAAAATTATGGAAAAATGTATGTTGATTGTTGGGTTTAGAAAGTTGGATCGGTTTTTGTTTCAATGATTTGCCAGAAGCACCACCATTGTTGTTGTGTTTCCTTGTGGAGAGGCCGCAATAATAGAATAAACCTATACAAAATAGTGGTAAATGTTGGCTGCATCGCATTGACTTGCATCACAGGTTTCATCGCTTCTATATGTTGTCGTGGAAACCAAGTTTGTGGTATAAGATCGCATCAGCATACAGAACAAAAACGGAGCAACAACACTGATGAGATCTGATGAGTATGACCAAGAACAATGCTGATGCAAAAGCCAGCATGGATTGCTGGGACCACCAATGACAATGGCCAGAACAAACACCACTGTAAGTGCAATGAGACTGACTATAGCGACCAGTGGCTGAACACTCTCATCCCAAGAACGTCACACAGACTCACAGAGTCATGTAGATTAATCTTCCCAGTCCCCACCATCCCAGCAGCCAATTTCGACTACTAGATTTCTAGGTTCTAGATCTGAGCCAATATGCATATTTTCGGCAGGAGGGTAGGGACTGATAAGACTTGATGCCTCTAATCTTTCCCCTGCCCCGTAGAACAGCCCATTATCATGCCCCAACAATATGTCATACCTTGCATACCAAATCCACTTGGGCTTGAACCTCAACAAGGTGCTGCAACCCTTGCACCTAAAAAATATTTACTGTAAAAAATATGTCCCTGGGGTCCCAATCGTGATGTCTTACCCTGACCACACCTTCCCAAAATCAGAAGATCCCCCAAAACTGCCCTAGCACTGGGTAATGCTGCCTCTGCTCACTGCAAGCTAAGCGACGTATTTGTAGAGCCCTCCTGGCTGATACATCTGCGGCCCATAGCCCTGTGGCAGTCGCGTGACATAGGGATCCGGCTGCGGCAGTCGTGTGGCTGCGGGAGGCACCTGGGCTGTTGAACCTTTGGAACATCAAAAATGGGATTGAACTGAACTGGGCAAACATTCAGCTAAAGGCTTGGCGATGATGAATATGCTTGGTTCCATCTTATCCGTTGAGGTACTTCAACCTGGCACTGACATATCCATCTTAAGGTAGATGATTTACTCATGAAATAGTGGATTCATTGCCCGTCTAAGTCTACTGAAGTGATCTGGAGGGTACTTTCCACAACCTGGGAAAGTCCACACTGGGGAAACAAACATGGAACCCAACGAAGCGATTGAAAACATATGTTCCCGATTTTTCCTGTAGAAAGTGGTACGGGTATCCTCTGAGTTCCATGTGAAATTTCAGACGTGCGACTCTCAACTAAAAAATGCCTCAATACAAAGCTGCTTTAGCATTTAGAGTTGCAAAAACTGAGGAATAGTCTCAACCTAGGATTCTCTAAACATCTAAAGCCTGTTGATTAATTCGGGGTAGCCTCAAAAAAGGGATAAACTATAGTCGTTTATCAAAATTGGTACCATTCCATTTTTCGTAAACTGGGGGGCTGTTAATCAATGTTGGCTTAACATGGACGCATCCAACCCCCACAGCCTGAGATTCCAAGATGTCCTCGTCGACGGGCCTTAGTCCATCTTGGTCCAACGAAAGCCACAGCAATCCCAGCGTTTTTCCATGTGGACGGGGTTTCCTCCAGAATTGTCCCTTTTTGTATCTTTTTGTGCTTTCTGATTGACAGTTTCTTGGGATTTTTGGCGATGTTGCATGATCTGCACCGGTATTGCTACCAGCTGTGATAGCAATTTTGCATCTGGAATTGTGATCTCACTGGACCCAGTCTAGGCGCATGTATCGGCCAGATCTTCGTGGAGCATTTTTCCTGGGCTGCCCGGCCACCACATGATGTAAGACCCTCAACATAGCTATGGCCCATTTAGTTCGATGGTTCCCTAAGGTGGTGATAACGATCTTATATAAATGACCTGAGGGTAGACTGTCATCTAATTTTTTTAACAGGATGCGGATGGAGAGGAGAAATATATATATATAAGAAATATAGCATTGGTTCCACCATTCAACTGGTAGAATCATCCAATGTTAGGAGAAAAAAATGAGGTTCAAAAACCCAGCGTCAGGGCAGAAAGTTGGCGATAGCCAGACCAGGCGGCCAGCACAGCCCACAGGGAGCAGCCCAACAGTTGCCATTGCCATTTGCCTGGAACTGCCTTAGCCCACAGCATCCATGGGAACCCGGAAAGGTTGTGGAGTGCAACCCCCGTAAAAAAATACCCCCTTCGCCTTACCAAATGATGGTAATTAGCGGAAGAGACTATATACACACACATATATAGATATATATACACATAATATGTATATAACACATGTTGTACTGAATATGTAAATAAGTAAAACCCACACAATATTACTTATATATATATATTTATTACTATGTAATGCAAGTATGGCTGGCAGGGCTATAGCCGCATGCGGACTTGCGCTGGGAAGTGCAACATCACTTTGCCTCCTGGAACCCGATGATTATCATCCAAGGTAGGATGGGTTTTGTTGCTTTTACTTCGGGAAAAAAAACAGGAAAATAGGGTGCCATTGTTGGGCAATACATGGTAAACGGTAAACTCATGTAAACTCTTGGTTCAGATCCAAATTTGTCAAGTCAACTGTTCAAACAATTCAATCAGAAACCTCCATGACCATAGCCTCTGCAGGTCCCCCTGACGAGGAACGAGCGCTTGTGGACAGTCTGTTCCATCAGAACGCTTTCCTGGGCGGCCAAGAATGATCTCATGCACGAAAAACATCGAGCCGGAGAACCATGGAGAACATACTCCTCCATTTGGTCGAAGTTTCAAAGATGCCAAACACTTACCCTCCAACCAACACAGAATGTGCCATTTGGAGATGGTTGGAAGACGACACTTGTCGTCGTAAAGATCTGTAAATCACTGAGTCTCAGGATCTGTTGATAGCCCATCACCATCCATCACCTACCATTCCATCCAGGTTATCCAGGAGAGCCCCACATCCCATGTCCAGCATCCATCACTCTTACAGTCCAGCCCGGCAACTAAGGCGCCCAAGGCAACCTGCGAAATTCTGCGGTTCCAGTGGGGTGCCACTTGTTGGGGGGAATCATCATATTTGACAACCCCTAACATATATGAACATATCCCCGTGGACTCTTTCACCTTTTAATTCCTTCTAGAGAAACAACACATAGCATGAACATCTACCCAGTTCATCACATTTCCTCGAACCTCCGGTTTACCATTGTCTCGGATCTCTATGGTTGGGGGCCAACTGGACAGGTTTCTTAAACAATTTCCAGCATGATTCCCAATCGAACTAATTTCTTCATGGAAGTTTCAGGCTGCCCCCCCGCAGGGTTATCCCCCAATTTGGTCACGTTTATTGAATTTGGAGCCAAGAACTTCTTGACACCCTCAAACAACATGGCTTTGATATGCCCCCAAGGGTTGCAGTCACTACTGTAACCCCTGCGGCCAGCCACTAAAATCACGTAGGCCACCAGCACCAACACCGCGAAGATTTGACGTCTGCAGCGGTGCCTCAGCCACCGTTTGGATGGACCCAGGGCTGATCAACTGGGATACTCTCTGGCAGTGATAGCGATTGAAAATCACTGTCACCATGCTTAATAGGTACAGTCAGTATATATATATATATATCAGTATATATATATATATCAGTATATATCATATATCAGTATATCATATATCATGAAAAGATTGGCAATTGTCCATAGCAGATTGCAAAAACAATACCGGAGGCTACGTGAGACAGATTAAAATCAGGCTTAGATCCCGGAGTCGTACTTTGATCCAGGATCAGAGTGATCCAAATGCATCCAAATGCCGAATGACCCAACTAATAGGGGAATCACCAACAAAAACCAACAAAAACACTAGTTGGCTCTACACATGTCCACACAATTTTTCCACACCACTGTAGTAGTTGGCCTGAGGGTGATGTTTGAATTCCCCAAAATGGGACAAATGGAACAATGACCAACCCCTGCAGAGCAGGTGGTCATAGCTACACGGGGAGAAATACGGAGAAATGGCTCAGTTTACCTAGTTATTTATCTGGTAATTCAACATCTGGAACATGAATTTATCTGGTATTTATCTGGTAATTTACCTAGGTATTTATCTGGTATTTACCTAGGTATTTATCTGGAAAATGAACCATGTCATCCCATGTTTTTCCTGTGAAACATGGCCACTTTCCGCTGTTCGAGAAAGCTGCAGGGATGCCGCCAGCAGTGCGCAGGCCCCATGCCATGGAAGTGAATGCAAGCCTAGCAGAGCCATGGGAAATTCATGGTTTTCATGGGAAAAAAACAGCTGTAAACAGTACGTAATCTGGTTGGTGGTTTTAACCATCTTGAAAAATAATAGTCAATGGGAAGGAATATCCCATATATTATGGAAAAAAATGTTTGAAACCACCAACCAGTAATGCATTATGCGTGTCGTAGAATACAACAGGACCAGGACAGTGTAGTAAGGTCGTCCCAGGACATCATACTTTTGAGGAACCCATTTCAAAGCCAATACGGTAAGGTACGAGTACCTATTTACATCTATATATTTACCTTATTTTAGCTTAGGGCTTAGGGGTCAAGAACATGTCACACATCGAATTTCACATAAACCTTTGGGTTTGACCTCCCACAACTCGTAGCTAACACATGTGCAGACCGCCTTGAAAAGAATTCCCGGTATATTGCATTCCATGACAGCCGTGACTTTTCAGCTTTGGACTCAAACCCAACTGGCGTCCTGGCTTCAACTTTGGACTCATTGAAACCTACCAAACATGCATCCTGAACTATATATGCATACGCATGTATGAAATATAATTGCAAACACATATATATATATATGCGTGTATGTGCGCATTTAGTATGTGGGTATGGGTCAAAATTAGGTACCCCATTAATTGGATGGTGAATACTAAACTAGACTAACATCTGTGGTCCCCTAGGTCTTCCATTTTGACCCACATCCATGTGGCGTTTTGTTACTAAATGTACACCCAAACCCGTCATACCATTCATCGCCAAAAAAAAAAACTGTTCATCCCAGCCTAGAGGTCCTAGAAGAACCAGCGCGGCGGAGGACCAGGGTTCCTTAAGCGTGCTGAATGGGGGAACTTTAAAAGTCAAGAATGGTGGAAATGAAGATTTCGGATTTCACAGGACATATTACGCATATTTTGGTAGGTTGATGATTTAACCAGTACAATGGATTCTACCTAGGTCAACTATATAGGGTCTACTGTCATTGTGCTATACTGTTGTTATGAGGGGTTGATAAATTGATTTGTTGGAAACATCTGGGAAACCATGGTGTTTACAGTAATTGTGGGGCAGGCACTGGTAAATGCTTTAAAGTTCATTGGTCCGTCTAGGTGGCGGGAAGTAGTAAGCCGAATCATCACTGTTGCAAAGCTATAAATGTCAGTCAATTCATGTCAATTCAGCATCCTCGCATTTGTCGAGTGTAAACAGGTGTAACAGATTTACCCTTTGGTAATTTAACATAGCTATTGAAAATGGCCATTTATAGTGGATTTACCCATTGAAACTGGTGATTTTCCATAGTTGTGTTAGTTTACCAGAGGGTAAAACCCCCAACCAGCAACCAGGATGCAACATCCACATTCCCACCCAACATCCCATTTCTGGTTGCGCTGCAGCCAAGTTTCATCATGTCTTGGTAGCAGCGAGGAATGGAAGCCCTTGGCCATCAAAAAGCCAAGGCCCACGACCACCAAATAACCTGGGACGTCCGAAAAACTATGACCATCTACACTGGTAAACAACGAACTGCTTGAGGCAGGTCATCACGAAATTGGCAAGTCTGCGGCAAGTCATTGGACGTAGGGATTCCAATGATCCGGAAGGTCTTGACACAGGAAGATGCACTTGACAGTAGAACAATGGCTTCTTGGACGTCTTGGTTCAGTAAAATTAGATGAAGAAGGCTGAATCTGAATGGGAAATGGTGCTACTGATTTCATCAACCAACATATGAGAGCAAACCAACCAGCCAATGGTACGGTTACAGGGGTAGTTTTTAGCCCACCAACCCACTGATTGATACCATGTGTAGGAGTTCGGCCATTTCATCGAACATTTAAGAATTCACAGAAACGTGATTGATACTGTTTGACTATAACTGTAAGAGCTTGATGCTAAACACGCCTAGTGTAGATTTCCAATTCCGTCGACCCCGAGGGGCTGGAATCATACCTAACCCTTGATATGAACCTTGCTATCGCTCAGTTTGTCATCATTTCGCCGGGGGTCAAGTCATGCAATCCCCAACTGTTGGCTGCATTTATATGAATTAGTTGACGATTTAGTTGGTCAAATTACAGCCGTTTCATCACTTAAGTGGCTTGTAGCCATCCTTCAAGGTGGTGCCCGCTCGCCGCAGATTGAATCCCAACACCATGCCATAGTAGTACAGCATATATATATACAACATGATCCCATAATTCTACTATATTATATAATCTATATTTTATATATATAATTATAATTATTATATAATTATAATTATTATATATTCATCTGTATTAAACATTATTAACCCATCTCATATCATATGATGATTCCCAACATTAATGCGGTAACCATCTCCTAAATGGTCCTCTGCCCAGACACTGCCGCTCAAGGGTGCCAGAGTGGCCAGCAGAGGTTGGCGCCAGGCAGTGAAAACCCAAACGCCAAAGGCGCTGCCGGTGAGGTACCTAAGATCTGGGATCCCCACCACCAATCCCTAACAAAAATGGATATAAATGGATGATTCATCACGTGGAATACACATTTAAAAATATCTGTAGTATCCAGTATCCCCCACAAAACATGTGAGAATACCTTAGTACTTTACTGGAGGCTACCTGAAATGATGGGTTTTTCTCAGAAATTGCGATGGAAATCCATGGGGTTCTCGTTCGGAAATGATCCAAACATGGTGTTGTTTTTTTGTGCATCTGCATGTATATATATATATATATATCATATACTGTAATGTCAAGTGAGGATTAATAAACCCCTCCCGATTAATCAACCACCACTGCCCCAAAAAAAAATGTAATTTAAAAACAGGTGGTCCCCCCAGATTAATAAACCCCCCCGATTAAAAACCCACCAGTGCTGAAATCCATTTTTTATCCAACAATGTTTATTTCCAATTCTATTTATTTCCAATTTGGTTTTACCTTTTTTTTTTTATCATCATTGTTATATACTTAAGGTTTAAGTTGATCATTGAAAATTTCAAAAAACGACTATTCCCCAAATGATCGATTTCTAATTAAAATCTTTATAAAAATCATCAGTTTGGATTGCTCCCAAAGGGTACCCCCCATGAGCCCATGTCCCCCATTAATAATAACCATGGTTTGCCCCTGATTAATCAACCACCTTTCTGATCCATGAGATTTCAACAAATCCAATAGAAGTCTACTAAGGTCTAATTGACGTAAGCCATATCCAAATTTTTATGGTTCAGAGTTGCTTATTATTAAGGGGTGGTCAAGAAACTAACCAGAAGGTACCCCCCCTACCTTCTGGGGGGGGTTATTAATCCGGTGTTGGCATTATATGTATATGGATGGTAAACCCCCTACAACCTAGCTCTTACCTACCTCTTATCTATCTCTCAATTCCATTTGTCTATGTCAATGCCATCTGTCAACGTCATTGCCATGTGTCAATGTCAATGTCATATATATATATACATTATATATATAATGTCACCGCCATCATACCCCTTTCTCATGATATATCTCAAAATGTCCAAATGTTCGCATGTCCAGTAGTTATAAATCAACTTGTCGAGTCTATCTTGACCTGGGGTCCTGTACCTGGGAATCCTTGAATTCGTTGTATTTTTGGTAATTTACCAATGGTATTGTGTACCTGGATTGGATAGATAGTGGGGTAGTGAACAGGGCTTCATTTGCAAAATTACCTGGTGAAAAGCCGTATCTTCGCCTGAGCATTTCTATGCTGAGATAGATTCCTAGTTTATCCTGGATATGGTATTAGGATGTATTTAGCCCCATTATTTGGACTATCCCCTGATATCATGGAGGTAGTAATGGTAGTGATAAACTTGGTAACACGGGGAAAATTGAATGATTTTTAACTATTAAATATTAAGGACTATTTGGGATATCATTGCGGGTATTGGGGGTGACAGGAGTTACCATGAGATGGTCTCCAATTTTGAATTGCCTTATTCATGGTGAGGAGTCTGTTGGCGTTTTGCATGGCGACACAGCTCCGAAAAACCCAGGGGCTCCACCTTCTCCCGGCTTCCAGGACGGCAACAGGCTCTCTTCAGGAGCCTTTCCTTTCGACGCAGAACAAGCAGAACGAGCCTGGAAGGCATTCCGGAAAAACCTGACGATGCAAGCCTGTGGGCCAAAGTGTTGTGTCCTTGTTCATTTCTGATACACACATGTTGGGAGGAAACAAATCCCCAGCGTGTACCCAAAAGCCATGTAAGAATCCAGAACCAAAAATCAAATCTAAATGGTGGCTGTTTCTTGGTAAGGGGTGCCATATCTACATCTATGTAAATGTCTATGTTACATATTTGCATCATTTTGCACGGGTAGCAGCCCGAATACTAGCTATGTTAGTTTACCAGAGGGTAAATCTGGGGCTTTCCTCTCCATTTTCCCAGCAATTCTGATACGACAAGTCCGGCCATATGCTGAGCTACCAGGTCAGGGTCATGCCGTGCAGAAATCCCGCGGCTTGTGTCAAGTTGGCCACGCCACAGTAGACCTTGGATCATCCCAAGTCGGGTTATCCAAATCAGCCAGTTTTGAGATCTTGAAGAGCATGCCCTGCGTTTTTTTTTCCATTAGAATCATAAAAACGAGTGGAAAAAATTAACTGGATGACTATAGAATAGAATCATAAAAGTCATCCTGGAATCATGCCATTAACTAGTGGACTTTTGGTGACCAAAATTCCAGAAACGGTACTCGTCTTCCCTTCCTATGAGAGACTGGCTGGGCAACTATCAAATCAAATCCTTGCAACATGTTTTTTTCCACAATCCACAACATAACAAACCAACTCTAATTTATCAATTACAGTACATCGCAATATTTTTGATGGTTGAACTCTGGTGCTTCATGCCCACTCATACACAACTAACAGTCCGATACCCATGTGTTCCCCGTAAATGAAGCACAGAAGTCCCACATAGTTATTACTAACCCCCACTTTCCCATAGAATTTCCATGGTATTCCCTTGAAATTCCATGTTCTTCCATTGAACTCGCTTCAACAGAAAATTACCGCTCTTCAACGACCGTGTCACCGCCGCCAGAAAGCCCAATACTGATCCAATGAGCACCTGAAGTTCCAAGGCATTGAGAGGTACACTGATGGTAATAAAATATCATTATGATTTAGTGGGGAAACAACATGAGAATATCATCGGATATATATATAAATGTGATTTAATAGGTCGTATGATTTCATACTGAGGTATATATATATATCTCTCATGAAGAATGGTGATACAATATGGGGATGTAATACTTGATGATATATATGTTTATATATAAATGCAGTAATGATATATGGGGATAACAACAATATGGGGAACAATGATATAGTTTTGATACAACCACTAAAATTGGGGATGTAATACGGATCTCATGGGGATTTAACTGACAAAATGGAGGCTGTAGAACCAACTTGATTTGATATGGATTTGTTTGATGTGAATAAATCCCCCGTATGGCCACTTTCACAGTATAATTAATTATGTTTTAAAAAAATGGAAATTCAAACGATGGACATGTCAAGGTATGATCTGGTACCTGGTACAGCATCACTGGGATTGAAATGGATGTATAAAATGGGGATAACGTTCGAGGCTCGAGGTCTAAATGCATTTAAATATACATATGCAGTAATATATGCACGCAATTTCTGGCTTGTGTGCAAATGAATGTTGGAAGTTGACAAGAATCAAGGTTTATTGTCATCCTGGAGTAGATAGAATACGGACATTTTAAAAAATCACCAAGAAAAACGGGAATATGATTGAAAGTCCTACAATATTCTAGCTACTTCAGGATAGTTTTTACTAGAAACAATTTCACGGTTTACCCACTTCTGGACCTTTACCCTTGGGGATGATGGTTATGATATCATGTTTGGAGCGCACATCACTTGACGGCCATGATCGTGCTTCCTGACAAGTATAATCACAACTGATTCTGCATCATGACTTTTACTTGCAATGAGTGGATGCATATGTATGCGTCTACAGGTAGACAATGGTAGGTAGATATAGACAAATGATGCATCTGAATCATGCATGCATATGTGCATACTAATTCTGGACTGTGCATTCTGACGATGATTGTCTCAAATAACAGGCAGTACCCAACTAACTATAATAGATCAATAGATCATCTATAAATGGAATTACATTGGGCCATTTTTCATAGCAAACTGCCTGCAAATTGTCAAATTATCGGAGAGTATCCTCCCTGGTATCTAGTGAGGTTTCATAGGGCACTCCCCATGCTGCGCCTGTGAACCTTCAAAGCCACTATGCACAGACAAGGCGACGGTACAACCTTGCAGAATGCTGGCGGGCTAGCGGCTACCCGGTGTTGCACAAGAAACATGGGGACTTTGTGCAGTGGCAGCCTTCATATCTCTTGTAGGATGCTGTTGGACCACCCCAGACATGATCCGAGAGTTAGACTCAGGTCATGCAACCATAAAATCGCCCAAGTTTTGTTGCCTTGCCTGATCTTAAACATAGATAGACATAGAGGATTGTAGACCTATAGCTTATTATATGGTTATAGTTAATATCCTCGCTATATCAACCATCAGGATATATGAGGATAGATACACCATGATATACCCAGCATATCACAGCCTGTCACTCATCTCCCACCGGGTCCGCCTGTCACGGCCATCAGAAGGATCTCAGCCAGCCAATTTGGCGCCAGCTGCCTCCGCTCTGCCTGGCCCCGTGATTTTGGATGATGATTTGTGAGATGATATGTGTATACATAATGTGAACCATAGATATACATATACACGCACATATATGCATATATATATATATGAAGGATATGATATATATATACATACAATTATATAGATATAAAATTATATATATATATATATATGATTATATATGTGTATAGCTATAACTATAGTCCTACCACTTATGATATCTCATGATAACTTTTGACACCAGTGTCGCTGTTCGCATTACAATCCTTATATTCGCTTGAGACAACATGCGCCGTCACTGGCGCAGAGCCGCCATGCTACCCATCCCGGGCCCCACAATGGTTGTACCTCCGTACCTACGTGCATCATTGGCTCTGTTATGGATATCAGATACGTACGCTGAATGGTATATTTATAAACATCTGGTGACACAAAGAAAAAACATGATACTTACAAAAACAATGAGCATTGCATTCATGACTAAGCAACAAAGTAACAACACTCACCGATGGGCCCCCACAATGAGCAAAATCCACCGGATCTTTTACTGTACAGACGAAGGAGCCAAAAAAAACGGTTGATGGGTATTATCACGCGAACGATGCATGAATCAATGGTCAAAAGCAAATCGCTGCGATATTTGACTATATAATTATCCTGACATGGCCGTTTTCCGGCTTGGAACAGCATCAGGATCGTCCATAATAAGGGTCTATTTTGCACCACTTCGATGTGTCAAATCATAAAGCAAAAGCCCCAACCTTGACAGATTTCCCTCGAAACAAACAAAACCATCATACCAAACCTCCAAGGAAGGGGGATTGCGTTGAATTTCACCCCAAGGAGCCCTGGAGCATCTGAACTCCAAAATATGCTCTTAGAGTCTTAGAAGTTCTTAGTTTTTGATTTTTAGTATCTCTTGGCAATATTCAAAAGTCAAAGGTCCATCAAACATCAAACTTATCCGTCCCTCAAGGTGCTGTTGCTGCCGGCCTCAAATCGTACCAGCCAAACAGCACTGAGTGAAAAGCAGGTGATGACGATCAGCTCCCATAACCTGGGAATCAGAAACCCCAAACTCAACAGGCATTTCAATGGGAAAACCATCGAACTCTACGGGGTTACGGGGCTCCATTGCCGTTGTCTCATGGTGAAATCATGTCATCTAGCGGCTGGGCAGTAGCTTCAGCCATACGCAGGTAGGCTATGCAGGCTATGGATATGATAGGCTGACATCCTGCTCTTTTCCGGTATCCCCAGCATAACATAATGCGATACGTGTATCGTTGTGTATCTGCTGACCATCTGTCACATCATGGGTTATGGTCATAGTCCCATTTCCAGCCCTCGGCTGATATTCATGGTTATAACTCTATGTGGCAGACTCCAACCTGGAAATGGGACTATGTGATATAATTATTCATGGTAGATAACCATGATATGTGATCTGGAAATGGGACCACACATCTAGGAATATATTCATGGGACCCACGTCATGCCAAGTGAATCAAGTGGTCCATGGTTTATGCATGATCACATCGCTTCTCCCCAACTTTTTTCAGTTAGAGAATCCGCTTGGCCATGTCACAACCTGGTACCGCTTAGACTTGCTGAACACAGCTCGATCATCCCATCTAGTAGCTACGGTATAGTCATATTATATATTATCATGATTGTATTTTTATTTTATTTTCTGGTTGGTGGTTTCAACCCCTCTGAAAAATATGAAAGTCAATTGTGATCATTCTTCCCAATATATGGAAAAATAAAACATGTTCCAAACCACCAACCAGTTAAATAGATGAATCATGAATTACATATGTTCAAACCCGTAAAATCCATCGGTAATGACCCACACCTAACTGGACATACCCATTAGGATCCAAAATGATCCGTGCAACTGGCCTGTCAACACAGGATGGGCCTAGTAATCCCATAGTATGTAATCCCCAATGTCATTGAAATGGTAATCCCATAGTAATCCCATTGCCATGGTTTTTATCACTCAATTAGCGTAGGATTTTATACTTTTCCAATCTTTTGCATCTTTTCTTGGAAGGGTTTGGCACCTGAAACCCCCCCCACATCATCCTCAACTCCCGAATGCTCAGGCACTTGGGCCCGTTCCAGGAGCACAGCCCGCCACACAATAAGGCTCCCACTGCGATGCTGGCCTAGTGGATCAACTCAGGCTGTACCCCCTAGGAGATCCAATATATACATATATACAAATATACATATATATATATATATATAGAAATTGAATTGAATAGATATGGTAGGGGTACATTAACTAATTGATGCTTAACTAGATTTCTTTAACATACTGAAAGTGGCATCCAACTCGTCAACATGCGCAGGGTCTAAGAATTCCTCAGTCCTCGGAATTCGGTGCGCCTGGTAGGGGCTTTCCGAGAGCCAGCGGTCAAAGTGCTTCACGTAACGCAGGAAGGGCGATGTTTCCAGCAGCTGCTGGTGGAAGCGATACACGTCCTGCGGCACTCCATGGAGCTTCAAGTTGGGTCTAGCCTTGGTAATCGTTGACTTTACCCTCTGGTAATTTGTTGCATAGCTATTGAAAATCACCATAGAAATAGTGGATTTTCCCATTGAAAATGGTGATTTTCCATAGTTATGTGAAAGTTTACCAGAGGGTAAGCTGAACATTTGCCACTGGAAAACTGACATCCCCTCCGGGAAGAGTTGCCAGGGTCTCAATGCGATCTTCCACAGAGATCATTTCCGTGGTTAACCTTCGATATCTTTAGTGGGATATTATTGGGTTAGAATTGGGATATATATAATTAACAATAAGTTCATGCAACGCCGACATATATATGTATACAGTATACATATATATATATATATATGTATATATGTATATATAATATTATATACATTAATACATATATGTATGTATATAAGTATCAGGATATCATATAAGCTCGGTTTCAGTTGCGCACCTCACAAAGTTCTGGGGAGCTGGTTGGGCTCAGAACAACCTCAGCAGAATTTGTTTTTTGTTGGCGACAACTATTGATAATGGATGATAATGGTAGTAAAGCAACAATCAACCATACCCAAATTTGCCATAAATGAATGGGTTGCATAAACATGTATAAACCATCAAAACACTGGTGGTTTATTATTGCTTTATTATAACATAATGGATTTGTCTGACAAAATTACCCCCCCAAACTCCCATGCTTATAAACGAGCCATGTTCCAAAAAATGCCACTAGGGGAGAGGCCCCATTTTCAATCAAATCAATATGTTAAACACACATTGAGAGATGTAGTGATACATAAGGAAACCAAATGCGGATATATAAGCAACAAACATTGGAAGGATATTGTGCAATGCCATTATTGGAGTGTGCCACAATGGGTCATTAAATAGTTCAACATGCATCAGGATGAATGATGTCCAGTACATTCATGTCAATAGTTGTTAAAATCCAGTGGATTATTTCTGTGGATCACGGGGTCACAAGCTTTTGGAAACGCCCAGTTATTTTCCAGAACACCAGTTTAAAACTGAGCAGATTGGGCTCCAGTCAGATAAGAATGTGTTCAACTGTCCTGGTCCGCTTTGAGTGAGGGCATGCTTCTACACCCCAAGAATCCTTCGACTAAGATAGGCAGGTCTTCAACTGACTGTCAGGAAATAATGGGCAGTATCAAAATCATTCCAGATGGGGTCTTGTCCCTGCAACAAATATGAAATTGCAAAAAAAGTGGACATGTCCGATGGGGAAAGAACCGTCCAAACATGGCGTCCAAACCCATTGCCCTCTGCCAACAAGGGTAGCAATGTAAAGTCCTCCTATATCAACCGGCATACAGACCCACAAAAAGAAAAGACCGTTTTTTCGTTTTTGGACTGCTCACTGATGGGGAATGCCCCAATGGCCCCAATATATGGACACATGCAACACATATGCAACACATTTTCTCTTCAAGCAAGTGATGGACAAGGCTTCCAGTCCATCCTGAGACTCGCTACGTCTGGAGCCACAGCTGCCTGCACATCACTGGGACCCAGTTCTTCCTGCGGGAACAACGATGGGTCGCCGGGTTCATCCGATGATGTCCGTTCGGTATACCCTCCAGTTTTGGCCAATGATGCCACTGTCAAAGGAAAATCCATGATAAAGCAGTTAGACACTGTTTGTTCAGCAATCTCACAGAGGCCATGGAATCAACCCAAAGAAGAACACCTGTTCCAAATGCCCTGTTTTTTGCTCCCAAACAGGATGAACCACATCGGGCGAACAGCTCCCCACTTCTTATCCACTCCTCTGGCTGGGCGAATAGCTGTGGGTCTCCCAGCATATCCGCCTCCAACAAAAATCTGCGGAAACCGCTGGAGCAAGTGCCGTGGAAGTTACTGGAAGTTGTGTTTAATTATGTTTCTGTAAACTTGGAAGTTGGATAAAGTTGGGACGGTTCTTTAATTATGTTTATATCATCGGTATTTTCTATGTGTTCTTGTTCTTTCGGGCGATGTTTTGAAGTTACCGAGTCTCAGGCTTGAACCATATCCCCGTCTCCAAGGACCTAAGGAGATATGCACAGCATATCCACATCATATAGGTATGTTCGATATCATAGCCATGGGGGTAGTTGACTAACTGTACGGATATTATATACATATCATAAAGACATATAGTTCACCATATTTATATATATATATATACACAGATACCAGATGCCAGCAGTATACACATCATAGATAATGATATAGATTAGTTAATGTAGTTGTACTTTTAGTATGTGTATGTATATCTAGATGTACATATACAGTACTACTGTGGATGGTTGCGAAATCCTGCACCAGCAAAAGGATGGTTGAACCATGTTGAAACCCTATACCCTCTGGTAAACTAACATAGCTGTAGATAGTCACCATCTTCAATGGGTAAATCAACGAACCTTCTATGGCATTTTCAATAGCTAACTGTTAGTTTACCAGAGGGTAATCCCCATTATATCCCCTATAAATCCCTAAAAATCCCCAAAAATATCCCCTAAAAATCAGTTGAACATAGTTGAACCAGCAAATAATATGGGATAAAATGGGATAAACCATCAACTGGTGGATTACTTCCATCCACTCAAAACGCTGCCGAGTCTCCGAAGAGTGCTCCGCCGCCACCAGGTCGCCCGGGTCGCCCGGGTCGCCCAGGTCAGCGCCGGCGACGAGGCCCAGTGCCACGAGGCGCAGCATGGCGCGTGGCGATGGATGGAGGCTTTTTCCTCATAAAAACCTGGGAAAATCTGTGGAAATCTGGATGATAATCTCAAAAAAAATGTGGAACATCTATGAGAAATATTGAGAAATCTGATGAACATCACATAAAAATACATAAAACCAAGTAAAAAGTTGGGACAACAGTCTCAGTTGAGAACATCTATGAAGATGTGATCCATGGCATTTTTTCTCAACAAGTTCCATTTGATGAAGCGAACAAAATCAAAAAGATAAAGGAACAGAGTCCGAAAACAAACAACAAAAGGGAATGGTCTTGTGCTGATCTAAACCACTTAGTAGGCATGAACTGACACTAGGCATCATGTCAGTAAGGGTGGCTAGATCAAGACCTAGGTTGTCTCAGATTTTCTGCGTTTGTGTGTGTGTGCTGGCGGATACCTTGCTGCTCCAAAGAAACCGGAGGCCTGGCTTGAGGTTGAAATTGCCTTCAACTGTCAACCCTATTGAAGATGGATTTGATACCAACTCTGGTTCCACGGATAAAGACATTCTCTTCCACAGTGGTCATGTTCGAGCTGTTGTTGCCTTAAGTGGTTTCTCAAGTGGTTTCTCTCCCGTGCCTTCAGTGCAAACCTGCCTCATGGCCAAACATCAAAGGTCGCAAAAGTTGAATTCGCTTGAGCCAATGGGAACAATCTTCCGCTTCGTACGACCGCCTGGGACCGCCTTCCTGCTACGTCTCAGGGATGGTGAACTGGGTGACCAAGGGGTCTCTTGTGACCCAAAAATCTCCCATCTTGATGGTTCGATCCCTAAATTTCGACTTGTTCACCGCTGAACTCACTATGTTTGCCCATAAAAAACCACATTTTTTTGAGTGCAAACTTACATCTCGATTGATCAGATCTTTCACAAGAAACCACGATTTCGAATGATATATCATATCAGTACCCCAGAATCTTTCAATTCGGGGGGGGAAACATGGTTTCCGGATGAGATGTTCCCAATAAAGCCAATCCATTGACCGATTTCCTCGTCCAAGGAACCGCCGAAGCCTGGTCACGTGACACGTGCGAGTAGCCATAGACCTGCAGCAAAATCGCCCAGACATGGGGGAAAAAATCACGTTTTGCGTTGGGAATCCGGTTGGTGGTTTCAACCCCTCTGAAAATTATTAGTCAGTTGAGATTATGATTCCCAACATATGGAAAAATAAAATATGTTCCAAATTGTTCCAAACCACCAACCAGGAATATATGACGTTTCCCTGTTATCAGATTGCTGCTTTCTGTCAAAACTGGTGAATTTAATTTACCCATGTGTTCCACTGAAATTAGAGGTGTCAGCAGAATTATGCTATTCAATGGATTGGTTTCCATCAAAACCGGGGAGTTTTGTGAAAACTGAGGAACCAAGGGAACTTGTGTTAGTCTCAAATGATTGAGGGTATTTTTGAAGTTGCGGTTTCTTTTTAGAAACAAAATATATCTCTAAATGCATTTTAGCAGGGAAGATGTTGATAAACGACAGGTTTCTCCCAGACTTATCCCAGACTTCTTGGCTTGTCTAGGGTAAACTGATCAAACGATGGAAAACATAATAGGCTCCCGTGTTTGTCTTGTGAAACCATGAGCAAATCTGCAAGTCTGTATGGAACAAATCATGGAAGCCACCGTAAATGTCAACAATATTCAAGCAGTGTGATAAACAGCAGATAGGCAAGACTCATCAACTGCATTGATCGGCATTAATCAATCCTCGCCTTGTCTTCACGCCACATCCTGACTGAGCTACGCTCCCAGTGGGAAATGGCTAATTATAGACCCTACCCACAAGCCCTCCATGTGCATAAGGTGTGTGAGCTGTGTATAAATGTATATCGCTATTGTGTCCGGAAGGTCTGTATTTTTTGAAAAAAAAAACTGCATATGCATTACGCAAACATGTATGCATATCGAAAAAATATATATATATATATACATACAGTACATACGTAAAATCAATAATTAATATACTAATATACTCTCGTGAAATCTTACCTGTTGAAAGTTTTATATAAATCATATACTGTGTCTGTGTATATATATATATATGGCTAAAACATGTACTGTATACTTAGAAGTGAAGGCTAATGATGAGTTCATAGAGGCCACGGATTTGATCATCGCTCCGATTGGACGACATGGGAATTCAACATCCTTGTGGCTAATATTACAGTCAATTGGTGTGTTAACCATCCAAAATGGGTGTTTCACCAGAAAATCACTGGGATTTTTGTGGGAGTTCAACATGATGGCCACGGACAATCACAAGTTTAAAATGTACATCATCTATAAATGAGCAACTGTCCAGCTATGTGAAATTATGGCAGTGCAGGGTAGATATGGAAAACCCACCATTTGGCTTTTGATTTCATCCTGATTTCATGATGGCCAATAGTCAGGTTGCTTGAAATGCTAAATCCCCAAGTCACCGTGGGTTTCAATACTAAAATCGTCTGATGTTTTGGATGATCTGGGGGTACCCCCATTTCAGGAAGCCTCCATATTAATCAATCTAAATCAAATCTATTCAGATGTTTTCTTCCTTTAAACATGAAAATGTCGCAGCTATGTTTTGTTTGGCTGAATAGATTGTTGAAGATCATACTCAAATTACCCATCATTAGGATTAAATTGGATGGTTATCCCATGTTGTCCCCAAATCTCATGGGGAGTACTGCATCCCCCTATAGCGAGTTACAAGTCTATGGATGGTTGACCCGCAGTTAGACCAATTATCATCTATCCACTTACGTACCAAATGTTTCCCCACAAATTTGGTGGGTAGCATTCCATCAACAAATCCCAAGCTACCTTCAATTGTTGAAACAAATACGGGAACAATCCCAGCTATCTATCCATAAACCAACTCATTCTCCCAAATTAAAGATGCTTGAAGAGTTTTTCAACCCCACAATTCTCCTAAGTTATCTTCACACTTCTACATTTGTCATTTTTGTATACCATCTGATTATTTAACATAGCCATGGTATAGATGGTCCATAGAAATAGATGGTTTACCTTTTTTCATCGCATGGTGATTTTCCATGGCGAACTGTTAGTCATAACCAGAGGGTAGCCACCCCCCCCAAAAAAAAAAAAAAGATGCCGAAAAGTCCCCAGATCATCGCTGGCGCCTTTCGACCGGATCTCTGGCCAGGTCAGCGGGGAAGTAGCCGTCGGTGTCTAAGGTCCAGGCCTTGGGGGTCGATGAAATCATAGCCATGGCAGCCATGGTATGCAAATATCAAAGGTAATATGTCTAAATATGGTGATGAATGGTGGTTAATGGTGATTAATGATGGTTAATGATGGTTAATTATCTGGTTATTTAACATAGCCATGGAAAATGGCCCATAGAAATAGATGGTTTACCTATACGAAATGATCATGTTTGTCTAAATCTACTTATGAACTATGTAACTATTGATATCTAAGATATGCATAGTTCAACATATTGCGTATATACTATCTATAAGATAATCAAGATATGCGAAGTTCAACATCATGTATATTAGGCGAATGATATCAAGATGTTCAATCGGACATTTTAGGACCCTAAAATGGAGGTACTGTAGCAAAGAACGTCATATTTTTGGGCATATCCCCTTATATATAATATATAATATAATAATAATAATAATAATAATAATATATATATATATCCTAGGCACCTCCAATCAAACGGTACCTGAAATGGCCGTTTAAATCTAGAAATATCAATATCTTGATGCTAGTATGAGTAAGTATCTATCTATCTAACATCAATATTAAACTGCCTGGTCCATGCCTGAAGACGAGTTGATATTCCCTATGGATCCAGCCGTACCATCTAAGGAAGTATGACTGGGGGTTGGCTTAGATTGCTTTAGGGGTGAAGTACCTTCTTAGGTAGCATTTGGATCCGTAGTGATTAGTATGAATTACCATTGATAGTGAATGTATAGGCGATGAATTAATCTCTATGTTTGTGAATTACCCGTAATTATGCTATAACCATTGACCAGGGATCCTACTAAAGACATCGAGAATCTCGGGAGAGACAAACAGATTTGGATTTCTATCTATCTATCTATCTATATCTATCTATCTATACCTATCTATATCTATGTCTACATCTATATGTGCATTATAGTCACTACTGTAAATCACAAAAGCATGCAATATATATATATGCATTATATTACAGTATATCATATATGCGTGTGTACATGTATTTATTCACAAACTCCTTTTTGATTGCAAGCCTGTACATTCATGTCTCTGGTATCTATGTCACCTTGCGAGGCAACCATCAAAAGAGACATGCAAACAACAATGGCAGTCCTGAGAAATAAACTGCCCCAAAAGCTTTGATGGTTGGACAATTAGTAGATTACTAGATGGACAAGCCCGGCAAAGAATGAAACACGAATGGATTTGTCTGAAACTACATAGGTTATCTCATCTCCCAATTCCAACGGATTATTGTCATTTTCAGTGTTGAAATCGTAGTTTTTACTTGGGATATACCCCATTTCCAGACGCAAATAGCCCATCCCTTTCTTTGCAGTGCCACATTCTCATACATCTCGTACCGCAGCGATGCGTGCTGCGCTGAGCCGCATAGTCGAAGCCCTGCATGACTGGCTGCATGAAAATGGGGCCTGACCTCGGCCATGGAGCTGTCTGGTGTCAAATTCTCTGGCGCGAGATGTGAGTGTTTTGTTTTTGCGTCTCAGCCCATACAAGTCCATACATCTAAAGATACATGTCACGCAAATATATATATATATTCATTCATATATACACATTAAAAAAAAAAAAAACTATCCATGCATATGTTATATGTGCTCCAATGCTACATGATTTAGTTTGCCTGCGCCGCTGCGCCCTCCATGCGGACAAGTTTAGTTGCTGGCCTGCTTCTTTATATGCACAAATCCTACACGATTTATGGAATTTTCCGGAAACTTCTGGGTGCTGCAGTTGACCGGGGCACCTAAAGCGGCACATGCCACGGTAGCCCACACCGTAGCCACCGAGTTGGAGTTCCATGCGGTCCTGACAAGAGATCAACACTACCTAGCTCCGCTAGGGTGACCAAGGACGGTCTTTTTTGTGGTTCATGACCTGGGGCATCTCCCACATGTAACCCATATAACTGGAATCGAACAAACTCGGGATGCACACAGTTGAAATGAGGAAAACCATGGAAAACCATCTTCCGGACTCAGTTGAAATGGACTGAAATGGGGCTTCGCAGTTTTTGCCGCGGGAATCCCATACTAAGTTCACTGTCAATACATTTTGGATAATTTCCCTTCCTTGGAATGTGTGCAGTGTGAGTTTCCAGGAGATTCCTGGGGTGATTCGAGGCCTGATATGTTTTGATACACCAGGCCGACGGCTAGGATGGCTGGGGAAGGGATCGTGCTTCATCCCCATGGTGTTCTTTTGAAAAAGTATGAAAAGTGATGTGTCTGAAAGGGGACCCACTAACCCATGGATTATATCCGACCATCATTTTATATCATGTTCCATCATCTTCCCATATATTTTCCGAAATTGAATGGCCATAACTCGGGGGTACTGGTACCCTATTTTCAGACAACCCCTTGATTTACTGCTCGTAGATTTGCCGCCAAGGTACTGCCAAATATGCGGGGACAGACTTGTAGCCCACGACATAGGCAAACCTCGAAAGGGATGCGCCATGTTCTTCTATTAACCGATTGCATTGACAATAGAAGAGAAGCAGATCTGGGAGCCACACACACACACCAGAATCATCGGCACACACCAAATCGGAACAATTTTTGGGGGCCCAAATTCTGACCTACGCGTATCTCAGCTGCAGACATGTCTTGTTTGCCCGGCTTTAGTGGATCAAATAGCGTTATGATATGAAAACGAGGGAGAAGTCAACTTTGGCCAAAGGCATAATCCCTTCTTCCTATTACTAAAACACCCATTTAAAAAAAAAAGGTTGGTGTGGTACTTCCGTTTTTTTTTTGTTGGGCACAATTGGATTCTTAATTGTGGTAATTGAGAATCATAGGAGAACAGGATGGTGAAGCAATGGGTTCAACCCCCTATGAATAAAAATAGATTGCCACCTGGAGGTTTTTTCTTAGGGTCCCATCTCACAAGTTTTCTTTTGCATTTTTATTATTCAGGTTTTCATTGGAATATTAGGGGAAAGCTTCGAAATCCAGTTTTTGGCAACATCTTACAATTATAGATTTGAATAGGGGATTTAATCAAATTTGAAATTGAGTTTTTTATTTTTATTAGGGTTTTCATTGGAATATTAGGGCACCCTAATACAAAATATCCCCTAATAATAAAAATAGATCACCGTGTTTACCATTTGGGGGGGTGTTCTTGTAATAGGGAGAGAGGATTATCAATTTTGCAATGCATATATGAAGGAATGGACCTCAAATGGCGCCATTGCAACAAAATGCATCTGAATTTGCAACATCCTGTGTGTATCCATTGGGATATGCAAAGATTGGCTAAACGATACCCCCGTGGGGCATGGCCAAGCGTTTGCCAAATAGTGATATGTTCGATATGGGAAACCATATCTATACACCTTAGAACCGTAACCCCATCATCTATATGAATTTTGGATTTTTTTGGGTGGGGCCGTGTGATCTCCAATTTTACCCCTATATGTTGGGATCTCGTTTTCCCCTCCTGAGCCACCCAGGGTCCGGCCAGTTGTGGCGTTACTCAACTGCTGAGTTTAGGGCCAAATTCGATTGGGAGACGCCTGCCGCGGGTCTCAGGTTGGCACCAGGTATACGTAGGCTTATTAAAGGGTCTGTTCAATTTTAACTGGGATTTGACCCACTTACTGGGTTGAACAATATTTATACGTAAACTATATATAATTGCAAATATACTGTAATCATATATATATATATATAATCATATATATATATATGCGTGTAAACTATACCCGCATTATAATATATATGTGATATATATGATATATAAACTACATATACCCTTTGGTAATTTAACATAGCTATTGAAAATGGCCATAGAAATAGTGGATTTACCCATTAAAAATGGTGATTTTCCATAGAGGGTAAATCATATTGGATGTGTGCAATGAAGCTTCGCACGCTTCGCCTCCAGGATTCGCTGCCGGCCTCGAAAACGGGATGATCCAACGGTCTGTGATGGGCAACCGAAAATCATGGGTTTTTTTAATGGCAAAATCCATTGGAAAATCATGGGCACCATTGGTTTCAATGGGAAAATATATGAAAATATGGGAAAATGACAAGAACCTCCAAGAATAACAAAAACATAAGTTTTAACAGGTTTTGATGGGCAAACAATAGTAAATAATTGAACTAGACGAAGGATTTTCCATTGCCATGTTTGAACATGTACGGTAATTGATGATTGTTTATGGTAATAACGCCCACGGGTAGAAACGAGAGTGCGGGTGAGAGACAGATAAAGAAGGTTGCGTTTACTGCTGTCTTAGCAGGATTTTACGTATCTATTTATCCTTTCGGATGTTTGTTGAAAATGCACTTAATAATTCTATGACAGAAGATTGACAAGTAGTTTATATATATATATATATATCCAGTATATATTATATGGAGAAAAAAAACACCAACGGACCACAGACTGGAGGTTCCCCCATCCTGTTCTAGCTTTTCAAGTATGGTCCATATGCCTGGAATACAGGAACTCCAACATTGACTCGGCACTGTTATGTGTTGGCCATATATCAAACGATCAGTTTTCGGAACCGCTCCACCCCGTTGCGCTTTCCTCAAAAACGGCCAAAGATATGTGTCCAAAGAGATGTGTCCCAAGAAACACGCATATATTCATCTACGATTGATGATTCTTATACATGATTTTACGCAATTATTTGTATAACTATTGGCAAGCTTAAACATATATTATTATATAATCATATATAACCAATTATAACCATACATTATATGAAATCACAATGAATTCGATATACAGTATGATATACATGACATAGCGTATTGAATTAGTAACAGAAATGGTGTCTAACATTGGCCACGGAAAGATCCCCAAATTCATCCTGGGGAATTTCTTGGGGTGGTGAAACAATTGGTGCTGTTCAGCTAGCTATTCAGGGCCACGGGCCCAAAAAAAAACATCACCAATTATTGGCCATGGGGGAAAACAGTAGAGCTATTCAACAATCACCAGGGCTAGCCATTGGTGCTATTCAACACTCAGGTTGATTCAAACTTAGCCTCACACTGGCTTTGGACAACCCATCGTGGAAAACGACCACAGGGTAGTCTTCACGCTCATTGAACCTGCACGTTTTGTTCAGGCCCAAATAGCAAGAAGGATAGAAATCAATGGCTGTTTAAGGGAAAAAATATTACACGAAAAACGCACATATTTCATAGGAAAAAAACATTGGTTCCAGTAGATTTTCCCTTAAACCAATACCAAGAAGAGAAGTAAATCAGTAAATCAGCATCTCTTTGCAACAGGAATGAGTTTTCATGTTTGTGGAAAGTAGACTGCATAGGTATCCAACGGTATCCATATGAAATTACCATAGGATGGCTGTCTCCAAGCACATCATCCCTGCTGACCTGGATCATATAGTTCTCAGGAATTGTTGGGACATCTTGCAGGGAAACCCAGTGAATTTTTGGGTCAAAAGCATATTATATGCTGTAACCAAAAAATCTATCCCTTGAATCAACCCATTCAATGTCAAATATCTGCTAATATATCTGCAAGTCCCCACCAATTGATGGTAAAATCATGGAAATTCCCAATTTTTATGGTTACATCGCCATGTTTGTACTTCATTCCCTTGCAGAATCTCAGAGATCACCTCTGCCACAAAATGGGCAGAGTTCTCTGGAAGTCGCTAAGGAGCTTCTCGCGATCGCCTTAGGACAACGTTGCCGGTTTTTTTTGGCCCAAGTCATAGATAGAAAAGTGCAACGCCTGGAAATTCAAGTGCTAAAAATCATATACACCATCCAAGAAACACGTTCCCAAAAACTGGAGTATGGGAACATCCCACCGCCAGGATTCGCCAGGGGCCCATAGCATGGGTCCGGTGAATTTCGCAAAAGTTGAGAGCCCTTGGTCAGTCACATGGATTCAGTTGGGAAAATCTTAACAAAACATATTTTTCTCCCTGTGAAAAAAATGCATGTTCCTGCAAGCGTTCCACTAGTCACTAAACCTTAGGTTGAGAAAAGTTGATGCTGAGGGCTGCGAATAAGATAAACATTAGAACTATTTACACTGGAATTTTGCATACAGTAGTACTATACGTCACTATATGGTACAAAAAATATCAGTGTGATTCTGACTTGATATCACGTAAACAAGAATGCATTGGACGTGGACACAACATGATAAAAACAATAGTTCACTATCTTTTTTATAAGTGTTATAGGTGGAGAAAAATCCGAAAACAGAACTCGGACATTCACCGACCAGCCCAGCACCCAGCTGCCAACCATTCACCAGAAGGTTTTACCAGGATTGAATGTGACTTTAAAGATACTTTCAGCAAGTCCGGGTACCCTACCTATCAGTCTTACAGTAGTACCCACAGTTTTTTTGGGGGGGCGGGTGACAATCACCCAGCTGGATTCAATGATTGTCACTTGGATTAGATTTTTTGCTGGGGATGACCCATCGGATTTTAATTGAGAATAAACCATTTCACCAATTGGAAATCATTCAGCAACCCCACATATATATATATATGGAATAAAATTAGGTATACCCCGCAAAGTAGGCGATTTTAAAGTGAAAACGATAATCCATTGGGTTTTGGTGCATACGTCTCCTCCGGTTGGGTGGTACTGAAACATGGCACTGACTTGCCGGTGCTTGGTGGCGTGAAGGTCGATTTCATGGAACATTTACCCTCCGGTAAACATACCAAAAAAACGATATGGAAAATCACCTTTTTAGTGAGTAAATCAACTATTTCTGTGGCCATGTTCAATAGCTATGCAACAAATCACCAGAGGGTACCATTTCAATCCATTTCATCAACCCTCTTGGAGGCCTTACCTCTGAGGGACCCGGCCCACCAGGTAGTGCAACACCGCTTTGTAGGGTCTTTGTGCATCCTACGCATGAGATCAGCACTAGGTGACTTGGGCCTTCTGACATGGCGAGCGCATACGAGGGCTTGCGTCAGCAAACCATCATTTTCTGGTTGACATCCCCTAGTCATGTTCCTACACTCCCGTCCCCTTGCTGCTTTTCATCGAATGGAGGGGTAGAAACAACAAAGTCATATCACTCCTATAATTGGAGAAGGTTGCCCCTTTTTTGGTGGCTTGGTGGCTTTGGGGTCTCAACGTCCCCCAGTACCTTCTTGCCGGGCTGTTCGTTCTCGCAGTATCTTCCGCGATAGGGTGGGAAGCATTCGCAAAAACCTTGAGGCCATGGCTGAGGTCATGGCAGGCCATGGTAAGCCATGGCCATGGTAGGAAGTCCTGATTCTTAGATCCCAGTCTTCACCAGTTGGAAGTGGTTTTGCAACAGTCAAACCAAATTGTTCTAGAGATGGCACAGTGATTTCAACACTTCACTGTTCAAAAAATGGCTTTCAAGCATATGCTCTAAACCAACATTTGAAGGGGCAGGTGATCAGAAATTCCTGAAATTGCTCTCGCATAGTCGTATACCCTTTTGATTTATTGATGTAATTTGATGTAATTAGTGCATTGATTCATGTCACAAGTGTGTGATTGGTCAAGGCTTAGATTAGAGGAAGCAAACATCATGAAACTCAGGGGTGACCTCTGAGTGACATGACATTTCAGTTGCAGCAGAGACTAGTTATGGCTACGGGATAGTAATTTCAATGTGTATAGACATAAGACATACATAGATATATAGATAAACATATTTATAGATATGCATATACATCTACATGTATATAAATACATATGTATTATAAATACATATAAACAATAATATGTAAATACATATATACATATATACATATATACATATATACATATATACATATATACATATATACATATATACATATATACATATAAACATATAAACATATATACATATACACATATACACATTTACACATATACACACATATATACATATTTACATATATACATATATATATATACATATATACATATATACATATATACATATATACATATATACATATATACATATATACATATATACATATATACATATATACATATATACATATATACATATATATACATAGATACATATATACATATATACATATATGCATATATATATACATATTATGAATTATACATCTATATATATATATATACATATGCATATATATATACATATATGCATATATATATATACATATAATTATATATGTATATACATACCATATATGTACATATTTGTGTATATATATATATATATATGATTATATATGCGTAGGTTATGCATAGGTGCATCATATAATATCGATTCAATATTGACTAATCAATATGTATCACTATTATAAATACATTATGCATATGTATGCCCCTGGATGCCCCCACAAAATAGGGCTTAAAATGGCTTAAACAAAACTAAAAACAAGATAAATCGCTACCAGGCCATTCTCTTGAAAAGTTACTTGAACCGTCCCAAATAAAATGGATATGCTGGCAATTTTGGGGTGGCATCATTTAGTTTCAATGGTTATCATTGGGTCATATCCAAGATCTGCTTGGTCTATCTACCCACCCGCTTGGTAAACACCAAACAGTATGTGCCCTTTGTGTTGTTGGTGAAATCCGACAGTCGCCAAGAAATCCTCTGCTTTTGTTATTTGCAAAACAAAAGTCTCACTGGTTGAATCTCTATCTTTTATTGCTTAGATCCCATGTTTTTCTATTTTTTCTTCTTAAATCCTTGTTTTTCTGAAATCAATCGCCCCTTTCTTTGATCAATGAACCTCCCCAGACCCAGCCTAGTTCCGGAAGGCATCGACCTTTTCCGGTGGACCTGAGGCATGCTATGTGTCCTCAATGGGTTTACCATGGTGTTTCAACTATTGCTGCTTGGTGGTCGACCGACCCCTCTGAAAAATATTAGTCAAATGGGAGTATTATTCCCATACATACATATGGAAAAATAAAATTCATGTTCCAAACCACAAACCAGATTGGGATGTCCTTCACATTTTCCAAACGCTTTGGCTACGACGTGTTTGTGCCTTTCGCCGAAACGACATAGCTGCCAATGGGGTGACCCAAGATCAAGCAGCATCAGATAGGGCACCCACTCCAACATGTAGGCTTTGCCGGGTTCCTCGAGCTGATCCTGAGCGGTGGCTGATGATTTTTGCACGTGGAGTCGTCTCCAATTTGAAAAATTTTAAGAACCTGACGAGCAAATACACACAAAAAAACAAAATATGCATAGGTATCTTTTAAACATTATGATTAATGGCCATCATTGATATACATTGATACATACATATATACATACATGTATATATATATATATGTATAAATAATGAATAGCAATATATGCATATGCATATTTATATACATATGTGTCTATATATATATATTATATTCAAAATATATGTGTAAATATATATATATATATTATACAGTATGTAGAATCTAGATATTGCATGATATTGCATGGCTGCCACAAAGCTTTCAAAATTGGGAACATCAAGCCGTCACCGCTCCTGCAATTCCCAGCTCCGCCAGGATAGTGCAGGGGCAGCCTGTGATTCCCAGGGATGGGGTTCCTCAACCAAGCAGGAGGAAAAATGGTGGAATTTGGTGGAAAATGCCGCAAAGCCAACAATAAAATACAATAAACACGCATAAAAACCTTCAAGCGGGATGGTTTGCACATGTTTGTACAATCCATGTCTGGTGAAAATTAGGATGGATATGGATCATTATCGGAATTTCACGGCAACAATTAAGGGTATTTCAACAAGAAACATGCAGATATTGCAACTGACAAACAGTTTGTCATTTGCCCAACCAAATGAGTCAACTATTCAACTAATTCAAAGCAGCTTACGCGCTGGGCATTTAACCAAATTTCACCATGCGGATGTGCTGTATATCTTGATCATCCATGGTCGTTTCATCCTTTGGCACGAGATGATCTTCCTTTGCTCAACAACAGATGGATGGATGCAACCAGAGTTCCTAACAGCTCCACCAAATGCTTGGAGGATCATCCAACCATTCACCACCAGGGACGCTCCCTGGAAAGCTCATTTTGCACCTCATGCGAAGTGCAGAGGTTCCTATCGCTGTCCTTAGGCGTTGGGTCCCCTCATGAAAGAGGACAATTCTCCACCGCAGTTATTGATGGGTGTAACCCCCATGGTGTATTCTCAAATTCTGGTTTTTGGTGGTTTGATTGGGCGTGTAGGTTCAACAGTTTTATAATTTTTATAAAGGGAGAGTCTATTTGAAAGGAAAGTATGAAATAGTATGAATACGCGCAAACACCCCGATTCGCCCACACCCCTTCTATGCTGTACACTTGGGGATACCAAACGTTAGACTTTACATTCAATTGGGGAGATCAACAAGGGTATTTAGGGAATATAAATTACCCACCCCCGTTAAACTTTACATTCATTGAAGATCTTCAATAAGGGTTTAATTCTCCCACCCCCCTTAAACTCCTACATTCATTGAAGATCTTCAATAAGGGTTTAATTTTCCCACCCCCGTTAAACTTCTACATTCATTGAATTTCTTCAATAAGGGTTTAATTCTCCTACCCCAATCAAACTTCTACATTCATTGAAGATCTTCAATGAGGGTTTAATTCTCCCACTCGCGTTAAACGTCTACATTCATTGAAGATCTTCAATAAGGGTTTAATTCTCCCACCCCCGTTAAACTTCTACATTCATAGAAGATCTTCAATAAGGAACTAATTTTCCCACCCCCGTTAAACTTCTACATTCATTGAAGATCTTCAATAAGGGTTTAATTCTCCCACCCCCGTTAAACTTCTACATTCATTGAAAATCTTCAATAGGGGTTTAATTCTCCTACTCCCGTTAAACTTCTACATTCATTGAAGGTCTTCAATAAGGGTTTAATTCTCCCACCCCCCTTCAACGTCTACACTGAAGATCTTCAATAAGGGTTTAATTCTCCCACCCCCGTTAAACTTCTACATTCATTGAAGATCTTCAATAAGGAATTAATTTTCCCACCCCCGTTAAACTTCTACATTCATTGAAGATCTTCAAAAAGGGTTTAATTCTCCCACCCCCGTCAAACTTCTACATTCATGGAAGATCTTCAATGAGGGTTTAATTCTCCCACTCGCGTTAAACTTCTACAGTCATTGAAGATCTTCAATAAGGGTTTGATGATGATGATGATGGTGATGATGATGATGATGATGCGTAAGAGACTCGCACAGGTCCCTATGCTGTGCGTGCCGATATAGAACATGAAGTTAGCCATGATGCAAAAAACTTCTTTTTTTACCACGTTTTCAGCACATACGAAGATGGCCGCCGACAAGCGCGGGCAAATCGAGGTGTTTGGCCGTATGAATACATGTGGGCCCAGGGAACTCCACTGATGTTGTGATAGAAAGCCACTTTTGGATACTTGTGGCAATTTAAGGACAGCCATGGAAAATCGATCGGAGATTGGAATGATCATCGTCCATCGCCAGGGTGAAGATTCTGATGTTCCTAATCGACCTTTTTTGTTCACCAGTTGAGCTGAACAAACCAAGGGTTGGTGGTTCATCCTGATGGATTCATAATCAACATCATCCCTTAACATGATGACCCCATCATGAAATAGGTGTTACTGTTGACTGTTGTCACAATAGCTGATTCTTTTAGGGTCTACTGTGGCAAACCACACATTCAACCATCCCCGTGGCATCACGATAAATGGATGCCACAAACCATCCCCAAATGGTAGGCTCCCCACGGCCAGAGGCACATGGTTCGCCTGCAAAAACTCACATAGTGCTGCTCGTCCCGCGGCCTGGACGGCCAAGCAATGGCTACCCTCCAGGTACCTGTCAGCAATTTTAAGAATAGCTATGGATAATCACCATTTGTTATTACACAATCCAGAAATAGGCAACCTTCATCCAATAGCTATGTTAAGTTACCTAAGGCCTAAGTTGAGTAGAGTTGCTTTAATAACTCTAGAATGTCTGCATACAGTGATGAGGATGATGATGGTCATGAGGAGGAGGAGGGCAGTGATGATAACGATGACAATGACGGTCATCATGATGAAAGTGCTGTTGCGTGCCTGTATTATGTATTCCATTTGTGTAAATGATAACGATCAAGATACTGTAAATGATGCTAAATTCGCTGCTAAACGCAATAAGAATCCTAGTGTGCAAACGAAAGAAAGCCAACAGCTGCTTATATAGCACCCACCCCAAAGACAGAAAAGGAAAATCCTACGAAGGTGGTGGCAAATTCAAACGGTTCTGTCAGTCACTGACCCACTCTCTTTTCTATCTGTGGGGTTACTATTAACACACATAAACATATTCTGTTACATGTATATACATTTATATATAAATATTTATCTATGGATTCATACGGCATAACTATACATCTTTATACTATTCTGATAACATAAATGATCTTATTGCTTTATAGTGCACAAAACATATTGTTTGCCTATGATATGTCATTTATTGATGTGTTACATCAAGGTCCTAAGGTGGCAGTGGGGGTGATCATCCCAAACAGCTAGCTGTTGATGGAACCACACCAGCATCCCATGAAAAGTCTCTAAACTCTCCAT